CAACGAGCTTGACGAGGGTGTAGTTTTCCAATTCACTGTCGTGGACCTCGGCCATTCCCTTTGCTCTACCTACGACATGGTTCTGAATGGGTTGACTGGCGAAGGAGACGACATCCCCCTCGAAGAAACACAAAAGCCATGCATCGGCGTGCGCGTTGTTGACTACAAGAACTGCGTTGTGCACCTTTGGAGTCTGGAGAAGCTACACGACCGGGTTAGACAAATGCGGCAAATGCACCAGTATCTTGACCAGCCAGAGTATGCTCAGCACTTGAGTCTTGATAACCCGTTCATCGAGACTTGCATGCCGCAGTATACGCTTGTAGGAGAGGTCGACGTGCCGCTAAAGGCTGTCTTTGAAAGCAGGGTTCAAGACTTCGCCCTGGATATTCTCTCTCCTCATACGTCCCATGCCATCGGCATGATCAAGCTTTCGCTGGAGCCATCGCACGCTAGAGCACCATCCAACACGCTGAAATTCAACGTTGTGATGCACGAAATGGTCGGCTTCGCCGAAAGAGAGGGCACGGAGGTTCATGCTCAACTGTTCATCCCTGGGGTCTCGGAGGAAGATGGCATCACCACCACACAGTGGGTCAAAGATTTTGACGAAGGGCCTATCCGCTTTGAGAGCGTACATAGTATGAGCGTTCCTCTTTTCAGCCCGCAAACCGTCACCCTCAGAGCAGCTATTTTCGCCAAAGTTTCAGCAATGCACCTGGACAAATTACTGAGCTGGGATGACATGCGCGATGCTGTACCATTGTCCAGAGGAAAAGGCAAGGGAGCGCGCATCGCCGAGTCACAATTTTTTACCGAAGAGAAGCACGACGTATTGGCAAGGATACAGATTCTCGAACTGAACGAGGAAGGAGAGTACGCACCCGTTGAAGTAGCACAGACGAGTGAGATGGACGGCGGTACTTTCCAACTTCACCAAGGGCTCCAACGCCGCATTGCCATCAACATCACGCACAGTTCTGGCGATGCTCTGCCCTGGGACGACGCGATGAATCTGAGGGTGGGTAAGGTTCAGCTTCTCGATCAGTCAGGAAAGTCGCCAGATATGACGTCAACGTCACCTACCGTCACCCTCAAGCTCGCCAACAAGCCTGCCTTCCGCGATAACGCCAACGGTACTCGAAGCATCACGCTAACCGGCCAATGGGATTCGAGCTTGCACAACTCCCTGCTTCTGGATAGAGTCACCGCGGATAAGTATCGTGTTCAGATGACGGTTGCCTGGGAGATTAGTTCCAGCAAGTTTGCGGAACCGATGAAGTTTGCGATGCATGTCTGCTGCCAAATCATGTCAAGATCATGGGTGCGACAGACGTCAATGTTCTCCTCGCTGTGGCAAAGCGTCCGTTTCGTTCATGCAACCAGTGCTATATTCACACTGTCGATGCGGCCGGCTCCTATCAAGAGAATAGGCGACTTGTGGCGGATGAGCAGCCAGCACGACTACGTGAAAGGAGAAGAGCAGCTCACTACCTGGACCCCTCGAGGAGTCTCCCTGGTTAGCGACTTCATTCTTTCTCGCAAGAAGAGAAAGCGAATTGCGGAAATCGGAGCAGTGCAGACCCTCCTCAAGAAGATTGGTCTGCCAGAGCCGAAGGTGAAGGCGACAGAGGAGGAGACACCAGAAGAAGACCTGCCGCCTCAACCCACGTATCAAAACGACGATGACGATCTGTTGAACGACACACCAGAGAGCTCGCAGGTGCCAGAGGACGACGAACTTCTCAACGGAGACGGGCAAGAAACGCCACAGCCAGAGGGGGAAACTGAGGCAGTGCAAACACCTCAAGAACCAGAGATACCTGAGCGAGAGAAGCACATCCTTGAGAAATGCATCAAGCTCTGGAACAAGTACCCTGATCCGCTGCTGCAGATTCTCAGCCCAACGAATACTGATCCGCCGACGGACGGCTCTGCACCGGAGGCTTCCGCTCCGCCGAGCCTGATCCCTACGATTATCCGAGTTCCGAAGAACCCCAAGGTACTCAAGGGCGGCTATCTGCTGATTCCTAACAGCAGCTCTACGAGATGGGTTAAAAGATTTGTAGAACTGCGACGGCCATACCTGCACATCCATTCTGTCACTGATGGGGATGAAGTGGCCATCGTCAGCCTACGAAACTCACGCGTCGACAGCCAGCCTGGCGTTATCGGGCTCTTGTCGGGTGACGACGATGACACGGGTTCGCAAACCAACGGCAGTGTAGAAGAATTCCGCCCGAGCCATAGACGAACTGCGTCTGGACGTGTCATCTCAACCATTTGGACAGGCACCGGTACAGGTGGCGCAGCCAACGGGCCTGGTGGAGGCTTGCAAAGGCTAAGTGAGCGACTGCAAGCTGGAGTTTTCGCGATTTACGGCACGGACAATACTTGGCTGTTTGCCGCACGTAGCGAGCGGGACAAGATGGACTGGATCTTCCGCATCGACCAGAGCTACTTCTCGAGCAGCGACAGCGCCAACGGCAGCGGATCGGGCACCCCCGATAGGTATGATGATTCTCTCATCGGCGGGTACTGATTCTGGGGACCAGTCATGAGTTCATCAACGAACCTCTTTTGTCCTATCTTACCAGTCTAGAAAGACGAAACCCCAATTTGAAACGACGGCATTGCATGAGCATTGGGCTCACGCTCATTTCAACCACATTTTCTCTTTGTTCCGTTTGTATAACGCACGACACGACTTGCAGTATACCCTCTATGGCTTGGAAAATAGGATTGCGGAGGGGAGAGAGCAGGAGGAGGAAGAGCTGAGACGGAAGACGGAAGTCGGAAGACAGCCGATAATTGTCTTTTGGTTTGGGAGAGGTTGGCTATAGACGAGGTGGACGGACACGCAGGAAAGAAACCTGCGGCACAACGAATGACACAAAAATCTAGACAGAGACAGAGAGCTGCCCCTTGGGAAAAGAGGGGGATGCAAATGAGGCCAGCCTGAGGCAATCTGCGCTCGTTCTTCTTGGCTGCTACGAAGACTTGGACCCCGGCTTGTGGCTAGGTGAGAGGGCTTGCACGATGTTATTCCACAGTCAAGCTGCTTGGATACTGCATATAGTTTTACGAAGATATATCTAATGATTAAATGGTTCGAAGCAAGATCGTTGAGTTAATGGAATTAACTTCTGGGGTGTGGGAAATAAACGTCTATTCTGGCGTACACATGGCTTCAAAGCCGTTTAGATGTCTACGTCTACCGTCTTCGCCAATGCGTTGCGGCATAGCCCACCCAGAGTCTCCTCCGCACCAATCATACGTGCTCATCCGTCCCCGAGGTTGGTAATGTACGACGAAGTTAGCCGCTCTCTACACCCAAAGAGGTGTCGAAGCTGCCCGGGACGCAGAGGTCTCGCGCGCCCTGACGGCATTGACTCTGCACGAATCAGCTGAACCCATATCCATGGATAGATCCCACAGCCCGTCGAATTCTACCCAAGAGTACTCGGGGAGAGATCACGTTACTTTGTCCATGGCTCGCTCCCCATTGCGCTATAGAAAGAAGGCCTACATAAGAAGCAAATGCTCAATACAAGAACTGGTACATGAATCCGGCTGGAGCTAAACTAAGAATGAATGTCGATTTAGGGATTACAACTTTGCGCTCTCGGCGACTTCGCCAATCTTGAGCTTGCCGCCGTACTTTTCGAGCACCTTTTCGTTGTGGTACTTCCAAAACACCTTTGTCGCGTTCTTGCCGGCGAAGCGCTTGAGGATCTTTTCGCCGCCTGGGTGCTCTGATTGGAAGGCTGGAAGAAGTTTGTCAGCATACGGAGTAGATCATGGGTGATGGCGAGGAAGCGTGTGTGGTGATGATGAGAATGAGAGCGAGAGAGTGGGAGGCGGTCTTGGCGGAAATTGGGCGGCCAACTGCGGCCATGATGAGGATGCGTGAGTGGTCGCCGTACCTGTGATGTCGTAGACGCCGTTCTCGACAATGAGCCACATGTCCTTGTCGGTCTTATGCTGGGCGACCTCTTGAGTGGTGAACGTCTTGGACATTTTGGCGGTGTTTAGAAGGGGTTGCGTGAGGGGTTCGGTAAACTGCGTTATTGTAAGCCGAGTGTTGACAGGCTACTGATAGTATTGCAGGTATAGGTCGTGAGATGCGTGGTGAGAAGTTGGTGTGAGGTTGAGGAGACTTGGAAGTGAGTCGATGAAGAGGAAAACGACGGAAATGGGGGAAGCACGGGGTTTGGTGTTGGCGTTTGTTCGGTGTCGTCGCAGCGGCAATGCACCACACGCTGAACTGCACTCACCGGTCCGAGTGCGTGCGGTGCTGGGCGCGCGCGTGGTTGTGTGTGCCGTCTCACCTTTTGTCGAGTCAAACTTACCTCGGCTCATCTAGGCGCGAACAACGGGGCGACGTCATTCGATTCGTCTGCTGCTGATTGGGGGTGGGCGACCTGACTCCGCCGGCACTAAAGGCCCCAAGGGTGAGGGGAGCACGGGAGGAAACCTGGAGTAGCAAAATGCGGGAGCAAATCACGAGACTCGCATTTCTCATCGGCACAGCTCAGCTTGCAAAGATCCGAGGCTCCGCTGGAGTTTGTGTCCGTACCACCCTTGAATAGAAATGCTGGTAATGCTGGGCTTTTGGGTGTGTGTGACCTTTACTTTTCTAGCCTTTTTTTGTTTTGTAATTACTCCCTGGGCCAAGGGTGTCCGGGGTATTGCTGGGGTCGATCAGGCACATGGGATTATGGGAACGATGCCGAGGGCAGATAACAGCCTTGTTGGCCATACCGGGTAGAGATCATGGTACGCGGATCTTTTCTCTCTTACTACCTGCACACATCTATCAAGATGACGAGCGGCGATGTTAGTGCAGTGTATAGGGGAAATTTCGGACAAGAGAAACGAAATGCAGAAGCAAATCCACAGGAGCACCATGCCATGACCAATCCCGTCTAAACCCCAGCGCCAAAAACACCTAGCTAACTATGCAAGTGTGCTCGCATGCCCATGAGGGGAGAGCTACTCTAAAATTGTACAATCATGCTTCCTTTATCCAGCGCCCGTCTAAACATGTTGGCGAACCCAGCGTTTCCCTGGCAGTCGCTTGCCTCGTACTTTTCTATGGCCTTGGGCATCCACTTCCGGTAATCCTCGATTCGATGTTCATTCTAATGATAGCTGTTAAAAATGGCCAAAATGGAAGGGGGGAAGCTTGCGGCTCGAAGGAAAAGTAGATCAAGACAAACGCAAGAAAAAACATGCCGAAGGATGCGTGCTCATAAACTCTGGGACCTCTTCTGCTTGCCCCTGCTTAGCCGCCATATCCATACGCTGCCAAAACGCAATGGCCTCGCGCGGGTCGTAACACGCCTCCGCCATGAGCATCAGCCCAATATAGTCCGCCTCGCTCTCCTGCTTTCTCCCCATCGGCCGCGCAAACATGAGATCCATGAACCCGGTGCCCAGGTACTGCACGAGTGCCATGACCGGCGGGAACATGCCCGAAAGTATCACCATGCTGCCGAGAAAGATGTTGGGCCCGATGGACTGCGTCCAGCGCTCGCCGACGTGCTGCGCGAGGTTGTGCGCGATCTCGTGGCCCAGCACCGCCGCCAGCCCGTCCTCGTTGCGCGTCAGGCGCAGGATGCCGCTGTGCACAAAAACTTTACCGCCGGGGAGCACGAACGCGTTGAGGGTTGTCGGGTCGTCAATCACGCGGACCTCCCAGTCCTGGTCCTCGAGCCCGGAGACGGGAATCAGCCGGCGCATGACGCGCTGCACCATTAGCACGCGCGGGTCCCACGAGGGGAGGAACCGGCCGCCCTGGGACTCGACGTCGTAGATGACGCGCTTGACCTGCTGGGCCGACAGCGTCTCGACCGAGGCCTCGGAGTAGCAGTTGAAGCGCCTGCGGCCCGAGACGGGGACGGTCTGGGTGTTGAAGTATACAAAGGCGATGCCCGCGAGGACGGCCACGACGGCGGTGCCGGCGAAGCCGCGGGACTTGAAGAAGCGCCCGATGTCATCGACCGTCATGAGAGGCTTAGCGGTGCGGATGTTGTATTCTCGGAGGACTTCGCGGTGGGCGGGGTTGCGGGGGTCGTAGCCGCCGGGCCCCTTTCCCGCAGCCGGCCGCCGGATCGTCTGGGAGAAGAGTCGGGGATATTGTTGTTGTAGCCGGGCATCATTTCGTATTACTGAGAAGGGAGGGATTCGGGCATGCTGTCGTGTGGCGGGGAGGGAAAGGCCGGCGAGTTGACAGGGCGCGGCGCGGAGGGCGGGCGGCCGCAGGAGAGCGCGGAGGGTGAACATGGCTGCGGGCGCAAGGGCTCGCGCCGGAGAAGCGGGCTGGGCCGGAGGATAGGCGCTTCTTTCGTTGCCTCGGCGTAAGAGCCTTTACGCAATTGACGAGCGGATGCAGCTGTCGCAAGCGGGAATCGAGCGTGGGATTGTGCGATGTGAAGAGCTTCGTTGATGCTGTCATCATTTTGGAGTTCTTCCACGGAAAGACCTGACGACGGCGATAACGATAAGAAGTGTGGCGTCGGAAATTTTAACCCAGCCACAGCAGGGTCAATTCTTCAAGGTAGCACTGTTGGTACGTCGTCCACAAGGATTACAATCCTTCAACTTTTGACTTTTGGTATTGTAAGCATTCAACCATCTTGCGCCATGGGATGTCTAAGCATCATGTGTAGCTTCATTCCATGTCGCCTGAAATCATCAATGCCATGAAATCTCTTTGGGCGCCACCCTCAGTAACGCCAGTCTCACGCGAGCATCCAGGTTCCTTAGCAGAGGCGACGACTTGTGAATAATAACTGGATTGGTCCTTGGTTCTGTTACCTTGCACATGGCTGGCTGTTCCTTGTCCACGGGTAGTTGTCGTGAGGATCACTCTAATTGCTGACCTGCTAGAATGGGTCTTTCATCCGCTCCTTGTGATCAATCATCCCCGGTACCCTGCTAGGGTCAGTAGCTCAGACCGTCAGCTTATGGGAGTGACAATTCCCTCACACTTAGGAAGATTTTGGTAATGCGCTGGAATATTGTGAAGATTTTTGATTCCTTGAGTTCAATATCGACTTAGTTCTGGGTTTGCTCAAATCTTAGACCAGTTTACCTTTTGACTCGTATTTTCTCATAGACCTCATGTTCCAAGACTCTCTGAACACGTAGGAACCCCGTAACATTCAATAATGGGCTCCATCCCTCTCCCAGATCTCTCCCACCTATCCCCCTCCGCCCTACCCACCCCCCACGATCCCCCCTCCACCGCAAAGATCGTCTCGGCCCTCTCCCTCCACGCTCACTATGAAGGCGGCTTCTACATAGAGACAGACCGCGCCCCAACCTCGATCCCCTCCCCGTTCCCAGCAACGCCCGCCTCAGCCTCGAACGGGGCATCACCCTCGACCAACGATCCGGACTGCCCTCCACTGACGACCGAGCAGCAGAGGCGGGCCCTCTCGTCCGCGATATTCTACTACCTCACCCCAACTTCGCCGATAGGCCACTTCCACCGGAACCGCTCCCGCATAACGCACTCACTGCACCGCGGCCGCGGCCGCTACGTCATCCTCCAGCCGGACGGCGCAATCGAGAGTTTTGTCGTGGGCGGCAACGTCGCTGCAGGCGAGAGGTTACAGTGGACCGTCGAGGGGGGCGCTTATAAGGCCAGCTTTGTGTTGCCGGACGAAGACGAGGGCGCGTCGTCGTCGTCGGTGGCGTCTTCGAGTGAGGGGTTGCTGATTACCGAGGTCGCTGTACCGGGGTGGGAACCTTGCGATCAGGATTTTTTAACGCAGGAGAAGTTGTTTGAGTTGGTGGGTGAGGATAAGGCGAAGGGGCTGGAATGGTTGATCAAGAAGGAGTAAATCAAGACTCTGAAAGGTAGGAAAAGGAATAGATTGGGGTATCGAACGCTAGGAAGGAATTAAAAGAACAAGTATGGTATCTTTTTGTGCTATGCAGTATGTTTCTAAAGTCATAATCGTACAGGCCTATGTGCGCCGCTCAAACCGTTGCTTCGTATCGCGTCTGCAACTTCTCGCAAGTCTGTATGCACAAAAATATCGTAGCGAGCTATCTTGAGCTCTTATTGCACGCGTGCTGGTGGTTCTCGTTTGAAGCACGGCCTAGTCTAAATTGTCGTCTGACAAGTTTGTCGTGGAAATCAGAAAGGAAAAAGCGGGAAGATAGCCTAAGACTCCGGCTTCGCCATACGTAAAGAACGCCCCGTCTATTAGAAAGTTCGTCAGATCATGTAACTCGCTTCAGTCGGTCATTTCCTTGTTCTCTGACGGACTTTGCGCAGGAATGGCTTCATCCGGGTATGGTTTGCGACCCCATACAACCCAGACATGCTGATAAGCATGTATTTGCATGTTGGAAATGTCTCTGCGGACATCGACCAGAGAAACCTGTGTCACAAACTGCATGTCAGAAAACAAGAATGGAATATCGAATAATTCCTCTCGAGTGAGACTTACCTGCACCTCTTCCTGCTGTCTTTCCAACACCTGCGTAAAGAGTGCCATGCTGAATCCGCTGAGGCCGTCCAAGAAATTCTGCTCCCAAAGCCTCCCGACATGCTTGTGCCTGGGGTGCTTGGCCCAGCCGTTGATCGGGATCTTGAAGACGCGCTGGTGGACGTCCACAAAGCCCACCTCCTCATACCACTCTCGAAGCATGTGTGCTCTGGACAAGGGGCGCCCAATCATCTCACTGGCAAGGTTCATGTCGTCTACCCAGCGAGATAGAGGTGAGTCGGGGGCAAGTGTGTCGTCGTCGCTCGTCGCCTCGAGGTTGAAATCCTGGGACTCAAGCCAGCCGCCCGGGCGCAGGGAGTCGAAAGCCTGGCGTATGACTTCGTTTTTGAAATCGCCAAATGACCCGAGCAGAACGCGGGTGTGGACGTAGTCGAAGGGTTCTTCCCATTGCCACGATTGTGCGCTGCCGGTAGAAAGGTCAGGACAGTGTGTACAGGGGGGAAACCGTTGTCAGATGAAATGTCACAACACTCACGCATCTTCGATGTAAAAGTGAACGTTTGGTGGAACGGCGTTACTTTGGATCGGTGACAGGTCGATACCGACTATCTTGGCTTCCGGGTACACATCTCCCATATCCATGGCCCATGCCCCCGTACCTGTGCCGACGTCGAGGATCCGCTTGGGACTCCCTTCGACGGCGATCGGGGCGAAGTGTAACCTGCCGCTGAACAATTCTGTGAGTGCAAGCGATTGAAGGTCTAGACGCTCCTGCTCTGCAGGGTCGTTGGGGAAGACATAGGCTGGATGGAGTGTGTGAGCTTCTCGAATACGAGCCAAGTAGAGGGTAAAGCTACGGAATACTTACAGCCTGCTCGATACGCATGATACGTCCTGCCGAAATGTCTGGGAAAACACTCGACGTCGTCGGGTAGTGATTCAGTCTCCCTGCACGAACTTTGTTAGTCAGTGTAGATGAGGCTAAAGTAGTTCCGCGTGGCAGGCATTACCCCTCATGAGGATCGGGCTGGTGGAGTTTGTTAGTGACATGAGACGAACGATGGGTAATTAGACCTAGTTTTTTTGGGGAGATAACATAAGGGGTCCAAGTCAAAACGTACGTCAACTTCAATGTGGCTGTCGTGCAGGGATGACTTGTCGGGGATTGCCTCAAATGTAAACTCGAAACCATGAAGACGACCGTCGGCGACACCTGGTGGGAGAAAGGACATGACTGTGGTCTGCGACATGAACAAGGTGACACAAGATGAGGTGCGAAGCTTCAAGCTCGAATGGCGGGCTATGCTGGATACTTTAGCTGGGCGCTATGTATCCGCCTCCCGGAGCTTTTTATCTGCGAGCTAACGTTGACGGATTCGGAACGACGGTTGTTCGATTCCGGTTGAGCGCCAGCCTCATGGAAGACTGGATGGAACGAGTGGATGCGATTGTGTCGGCTTCTTCGCGATCGATCGTCGACGAGATGATTGGAACAAAGGAGAAGACGCTTCTGGCGTCGTTCTTGTAACGCTGCGGTGGAATTTGTGCACGTGTCTTCGGGGAGTTAAGTTGAAGCGTTTCGGTGCTGCTGCTGATGATGATGATGATGTAGTTGTCACCCTCTTCGCAGCTATTAAGACAATTGCGAATCTGTTGTAAAGGAGCGGGGGATACAGTTGGACATCAAAGATGAACGGCGAAGAATCGAACGACCTAGCAGATAAGGAGGAGAATCGGAGCCGAGAAGGTTCGCAAGAGCAGTGGCAAATAAGGGCGAACACCAGACCAGATCCCGATGGAAAAATAAAGTTTGGATTATTGAGCTCGAGGTTGAGGTTGTTGAGGTAGGTGGAGGGCGGGAGGGGGGAAGTGTATGAGCTTTGTGTGTGAGTGAGTGTGAGTGATTGAGTGAGTGAGTGAGTGAGTGGGTGGATGAGAGTGTCAGAATCTCAGGGTGAGCGAGCGATGGACCCAGACAGCTGGGTCGGTCTTGGTCGGTCTGAACCCGCGAGGGCGGGAAAGGCGGGAACGAAAACACGGGGAGACCCAGACACCCAGACTTGCCAGACCCAACGGGTTGGAACTTGGGACTTGGGTTGGTGTGGTTGTTTGGAATTTTGGTCGTGGTTGTTTGCTCGACTGAGTCCTCCATTAGGACTATTGCTGCGTCGTCTGACTGACACGATAGGTACCCACGAACCTGGGGACCCTGGACCCTGGGACCTGGGATTTCTGGCTCGGCGGTCCCCCTCCCTCCCTCCCCTCGCCTCCCATCCTGCTAATTGATTTAGTCTCTACAGATACCTTACCTTAATTATTCGTTGGAGCACATGGGCGACTAAGCTTCCGAGGTTACTCACTGGCCAAAAGCCTGCGTGAGATTGACAGAAAAGAACCCCCTTTTAGAAGTGTTTAACTTTGGGACCTGGCGCTTTCTTCCCCGATTTGCTACCGGATGTCGGGACGTTCTCAAGGAGGGGAGGAGAGGGGAGCAGCAGGGGTGGAGAATGGAAGACGGCGAATGGCCTTTTTATCGGCCGATAAAGGGGAAACCTAGAGGAAGGGGGGTCACCGAATCGCCGGGACTGATTACTAGTTACTATCAAGAATCATCTTTCTTATTATCTCTCGAACCTTTACAGGCGTTTCTTCTTTTCAGGTCGTAATTTCTGGCGTAATTCTTTTCCAAGCCATTCCATCTAGCGGGTGTGGGCTGCTGCATGAGGAGGGGTAAAAGCAAATGGATATATGCACAACGTTTTCAGAAGGTCAGAACCAACGAAGTGTTTTTTTTTCTTCTGCTTCAGCCATGTGCAAACGGCTGCAGAAAAGGAAAACAGGGTGCCACAGCTGCGGGAGAAGATGGAAAGAAACAAGAAGCGGATCGCAGGTTCAAGAGGGAAAATAAGCCCGAAGTTCCCCAATCGACTACCTATCGTCACCAACCGGAGGTCTTTAGAAGCAAGAAGTGACAAAGAGATGCCAGTGTGACATCTGACGCGAGAAAAAGAGAGAGGGGCGGTGGGAAGAAAAAGCTCCCATGTGGCTCGGAACCGACAGCCTAGACATACATGTCCAATACCACCACCAGGCTTTCCCTCTCCAAGGATCAGAACTTTTATGCAACCATGCGGACCACCGTATGCGGTGGGAAGCTGCAAAAGTAAGTTGGTTGGCATCGGGACAAAGAAGAGCTGGTGGAATGGAAGAACGTGATTTGCCTATAACAGGTGGGGAGAGCTGGAGTCGCATCCTCTAACACACACTTTACGAACGCATGCCTTCTTCATACATAAACAAATGAGAGTATCTTCTTGCTCAGCTAGTGAAGCAGATGCTTTCTCTATGGCCTCTCACCACCTTAACCCAAGGTAAGTAAGTTCCAATGATTGACTATCCGCAGCCTCACGTACCCAACGTTGGAACCGCCCGAAAGACGGTGTGACGGACGGGTCCACGGAAAGGAAAGGCCCAGTCTAGGCAAATGCAGCGGGGCGTGATGTGCATGTGCACTACACCAACAACAACTTAACAAGCCAGCCTGCATGGTTGTCTGTCCCGCCCCTCGGAATCTGAATGGGCGGAAAGGTTTGGCACTAGTTTTACTGTGCCGCACAGAAAACGCCCAGAGCTTAGAGGCAAGAAGCTGTCCCCGGTTCTCGGGCCCTGTTCCCAGCTTTATGTTCTTGTTGAGTAGGAAGAGACATGGATGTATGAGATAGGTGAGAGTGTGAGTTGCGAGTTTGTGAACCAACCACTTTGCCCAACCACAGCCCAAGGCAGATTGTCTGCCCCTTTCATCCGACACACATACCTCTCTAGCTGTTTTTCTTAGTTTCGTTTGAAACCAAGACATGGGAATTCCTCCTCCCGGGAAAGACATAATTTTGCCCGTCCCAGAAGGCTGGTTCGTCGTGTTCTGTTGTGCTGTGTCGTGTCGTGAGTGAGCATGTGCGTCCGTGTTCTATGTCTGTGTGCCCTGCCTGCACTGCACGGCCGGAAGCTGATATGTCACAAATTTGTTCATCTCTTGCCAGGTTACAGTTACACAACAGAAATGGGCATTTTTTCTGTATTACCCTATCGGCACTCAGCAGCTTTCGCTCCATCACGCACGCACGCAGCGCTGTTTCTTCTCGACCGTATTTGTCGAGATGCATCGAGGTAGATGTCCATTCGCTTCCCGCCTAGACCCAGATTTTGGCGAGGCGAGGTGGGTTGAAGTTGTAGTGAGGGGGTATGGACGATCATGGGAGACACCGAGGTCCGGACACAATTGCCCGGCAAACATGAATTGTGTTTCGCTCCTCTGCTTCACGTCAGTTCCATGTGATGATCGCCGGCGGTACGGATTTTTCATTGAATACCGGTATTCAATCGGGCGTTGGAGAAAGATCCAGATCAGGTTTCAGTACGGAAAGTTTGGTGATCGTTCATTGGCATTCCAGTGATGGAATCATGCTTTCGCTATCCGGTCACGTTTGACTATGTACCGCTTGCTGCTGCTGTCCGTCTGAACTCTTAAGACTGCCCGAGACTCGCTGATTTCCGCTGCCGATCAGACGTGCGGATAGTTTGAATGAGAAACCCTGTCCAACCCTGTCAAAGGCCATGGGTATGCCCGAGTCACCAACCTGTTGGTTCCAACAGAAGTATGTAAACCACCCGCGAGCATATAATAAGAGCTGCGGTAAACTCCGTTGCTCGCCAAAGGGATGTCGTTCGTCTGCTCGAGTCCCAGGATGTCGGAACCACGGGCGCCAGGACAGAATGGAAACCTGGGCAAGACCCCCCACCATCCCTGACCCTACGTATAATGGGGGTGACTGTCATGAAATTCCCAGCTTCGCTTTGATGATTCCTTTTGCCAAGTCAACCCTCCGGCAGGCAAATACTTGATCAGCGTACGGAGGTAATCAGTACCTTCCGGTCTAGGCATCTCGCCCTTCCCCGGAGTTCCCACATCCAACCAGGCAATAGGTGCCAAGGTGGGAGCCGGAGCGCGTTTGCGCCGAGGCGATATGCGTCTATTGCGTGCCGAGAACCGCGTAAGCTTGGAGCTTTAGTCCATGGTCGATTATGGTGCAAAGATCCTCTGCTGTTTCTCTTCTCACCAAATTCCGGTCATTTTCTTAGCTGTCTTGACTAGCGGGGTTTGTCTCGTTGTGATGTTTGACTCGTGATGCCCGGCATAATTTTCTGTCCGGTGAGTGGTAGAGGTCATTTCGATAATCGAGACTCGGAGGTGAGGCTTCTTGTGGTCTACTTCGTTGACATATCCGCCCGTTTCCCACCTTCCCTTCTACTCCTCCAAGACCCTCACAACATATCTTGAGTGAAATCCTAAGGACTATTGCAGAACTCAGCTAGCATAATTCGGTGATGCCTTGGTTAATGATTTCTCTTCGTAAGGCTTGACCCCAGGTCAAGCGTGCCTTGGACCTCCATTTCCGTTTCCCTTCGTATCGTTGTGCTCAGGACCAAAAGTTCGAAGTGTATTCGCGACATCCGGCTTTGGATCTAATAACGAGGCTCATTGGAAGCCGAAATCGCATAGATCCTGTCCAATTTCCCGGGTGGGTGCCACAATCTTCTCTTCTTTTCATCTGAGACGTTTCACCTTGTCATATGGCCAAACTCGGTGATAAGTCGCGCGAGCGCAAAGAAAAGATTCAGACGGAGAAAACTCCTCCGCCTCGCCCTTTTCTGGGTTTTCGTTGTCGTCGTCGACATACGTGATATTCTCACCCAAAAGCCACGCGGTAAATCTTTCAATGACCTCTCTTCTTCGCCCTTTCAGCCCGCACGATAAACTCCTCAAAGCTCACCGCGTCAGCACTCTTCCGGCCAACATCATCGTCAACGCGCACGACACGGCCCCAGCCCTTGATAAGAGCCCGCCAGTAACACACCTCCGCGGCAGGGCTCAGATACCCTCGACCAGAGAACAACGCCCGCTGCCGTCTCGCAATCCCGCGCGCCACGTCCGGGTGATCCTCCAACCACCGGACCGTCGCCTCCAGGTCCGACCAGTCCGGCTTGACAAAGACCATGTTGGCTTCCTCTGCGCGGAGTGTCGTCGGCCACTGCTCCAGTGTTCTTGGTGAGAGTTGATGCTGCTGCTGATGTCGCTGCTGCTCATCCCGCGGCTTGGCTTCGAAAGAAGCAGTCTCGGGCAACTCTGACTGGCCTCCTAATAGCAGGGAACTCGAGTACACCGGCTCAACGAGGTGCGTCGTATGCTGCATCCACTCCAGCGGCGGGCTCAACACCACGCTCTCGCAAAGCTGATGAAACTGCAGCCGGCCAGAGTACGACACGCCCCCGGTGTGGATAATGTACTTGTACCTGCAAAAATCTTCAATCGCCAGCGCGTTCGTCGCGTTCTCCCCGTTGTTCGTCCACTCGAGCGCCTGCACGTCGGCCCATCCCGCGTCCTTTGTGAGCTGGATGAGGTCCTGTCGGGATCGCGGGTTCGCACTGGCGCCGTTGTTGAACCACGACGTGCCGCGCCACACGGCCCGGGCATTCTTCTTTTCGAACGGCAGGCTGGCTTCAATCTCGGCGATGGCGGAGGCTGCGTGCGGGAGGGAGCGAATGAAGGGCTGGGTCCATGCCCAAAAGGAGAAGTGGGGGATGGGGAAGGTGTGTCGAGGGGACGAGGAGGAGGAGGACGAGGTCCGCGCCGGACGGCTGTGGGACCAGGTATGTCTGATGGGCGTGTCCTGGATGTAGAGGTTAAAGTAGGTGTCTGGTAGAGGGGTTGGTGAGGTGAGAATGGCGCGGTGTAGCTGGTGGAGGGCGGCGCTTTGTCGCTTGGTCTTTTGTGTTAGTTTCTGAGATTCAAGATCTTTCCATCTCCCTCTGCTTGGAGGTGGAAAGTGTGTAGCATTGGAGCGGAACTCACCTCGATCCATTGATCTGACATGTCCACAGGTCTCGGCGCCTGCAGTATCAGTATTCTATCGTCTTTGATCTGCCCCAGCAGCGAGGCGGAAGCGTCGCCGAGTCCGAGCTGGAACTCTCCCTCGGCCGCGGCCAGGTCAATCTCCTCTGTCAGGCCGGGGAACGTCGCCTGGCATTGTTCCTCGTTTAGGTGGAGGTGTTCGAAATCAGATGCCGCTCCCGTCGCAAGGCCGGCCTTCTTTTTCCAGTCAAATGACACCGCCGTGGAGTGATGTCCTGTTAGGGGATTCCAAAGCCTCTCTCGCGGATAAAACAGAACGTAAGTGACAAGGACGAGAGTGGCTGCCACGAAAACTGGCCCTAATCGCCGCGCGGCCTTTCTTTGGCGCATTGTTCTTTCACTTTTCTTTGCTTCCTTCCTGGAACGATGGACTATAACATCATCTCAAAGTTTGGTTGAAATGTAATCGAGAGAGAATGGAAATTGAATCTGAAGCAACGTGGTCTGAAGTCGGTATTTCAGATGGTTTGACCGGTCACCTCAAACCGAGGTCTCCCCTGCTCTCAACATGCGACACTGCTGGGGAGCGGGGTCTCCCGCGAAAGAGAGTTTTGCAGCATATAGACGAACCCAAGTGTTAGGAAAAGCAAGTCACTGTCGCTCAATCGGAGACTCGATCCTATGAAGTAGGACCAAACACCTACCATGCCAAGAATCATTGGCTGTATCGGGCGGGGCCGGATATTCGGCATGCAAAGCGATTCGAAAGACACAACTCAAGCTTCCCTAAATTGTGCCGCGGCGACAGAAAGGACCAGGAAAGACTTCCGTACGAGGAAACCAGGAACGTTCGGGGCCGAAATTTTGACTATGGCCTGATTCATCCCCGCCAAGCCGTCAGCGAATCTGTGGCGGGAGTTTGGGTGGCAGGTCCTCCCTCAAAGGATATGCCTTGAAGAGAAGGAGTGTTGTGTTCGGGCGGGGGATCTCGACGCCAATTGGCCTGGAGGTTACTTTCCCCAAACACATGCTCGTCCTAGTCCACCAATCATCTTACACATTGATATTGACCCGTTGCAACGTCCCCCGGATTTCCGCTAGACTGCCGCTCTCCCGGCGGAACCGAAAACTCATTGACATAGCCACGGGACGAAGCGCCTTGAGATTTGAAGCTTGTGGTGGCTGTGCCATCCTCTGCAGTCCCGTGCTGATGGCAGGTTTGACCAGGTATGTCGCAAGTATACAGGTAAGAACAAGACTGGTCACAGCTGCCCTGGTTGACGAAAGGAGGAAAGAAAGTCCTGCCGTGGGGAGCTCTGCGCTGGAACCATCGGCAGCACCGGTAGCACCGACAGATCAAATTAGACCTGGCCTAGGATTCGCCGAAGAAACTGAGCTAGGTGAGCAGAGATTTTGGCATCATGCCTAACTCCGTGCCGTGCACTGAAAGTCACGAAACAGCCGGCAACTAGCGGAAGCTACGGCACGTTCTCCACCTTTGCCGGAGCAGTCTACGGCGTCTTCCCGGTCGGTTGAAAGGACAACATGCCGTGGCCCCGACTCAGTGTCAACCTTTGGAGATGTCTCAGAGTTCTGCCCCAGAGGAAATGCCTCAAGTCCCACGGGTTCTTCAATGTACAGTAGTTTTATGGCAGTTCTTCGTAACCTTCGCGGTTATACATAGCCCGGCGGCCTCCTGGGGACCATCGCAGCAATGGCGGCTCCGAACACCGAAAATGAGGGGCGTACTTGCTTGGGTGACACAGTGGGTGGTTGTTTGCATTGCTCAGCATCATCTCGACAACAGCCATAATCTCCTGAAGACCTAAACTTGGAGCAAGCTCACAGACCATCGCTAAGTCCCGTGCCGAATCCTGCAGGACCCGAGCCTCATCTTCAAACCCAACGTCGACTTTAACATCAATTTCACCTCCAAGGTCTTCCTCATCTTCAGTCTCAACTCAGCTGAACTCATCTCAACTCATCTCAACTTCTATTCAGCAGATTGGGCACGTGTTTGAGGACTTAGCAGAACATCATGCATCTAGGAGATTGGTGGGTCACACTGGTGGAGTTGATGAAAGAACAACGTCATAATCAAACAAATGAATTAGAATCGTTGTTGCTTTTCGCAACAATACGTACAAATATCTTGCGCCTGCATAGAAAAGGATTCATGGTCCTTTGCGGCTTTTGTAAAGCAGCACAGCCAGCACCAAGACTCAACTCCAAATAAAACCGTTTCCATGCCGTGTTATTCACTGTTCAGAAGCCGGGGACGCCCGTACCCTGGGTGTCATTGATAAACTAACGAAATAGCGGCCAAGCCATACATCAAATCTAGTGCTTCATGCGAATTAAGAGCAAATGCCCTTTGGATATCGTTTGTACATCCAGCAATAGCTGGGCCAATCTTCATGGCTTCAGTTTCTTACAACAGGAAGGCACCGAACATGGTGAACAGGGCGGCCAGACCGGCAACAGCCAAAGGAGCCTTCTCAATGGGGCTGCCAAAGGTCATGCCAGGAGCAGCGTTGGAAGAGCCAGTGGCGGAAGCGCCGCCGGAAGCACTGGCAGAGGCAACACCTCCGGTGGTCTCGCCGTCTGAAGCAGAGTCACCAGCGGTCTGGGAGCCATCGCCACTGAGACCGGGGCCAGTACCAGCACCAGCGGTCATGTACTGTCGGTTTGTTAGCGGCCTACTCTTCCCAAGGAACAGAATGGATATAATTTACCTTCTCGGCAGCGGAGGGGATGGTAGGGATCTTAGTGGGGTCGACCATCCAGACGGAGTCAGAGGTAGGGCAAGCGACAGAGTGGGAGGTAGCGGCGGCACCACCATCACCAGTAGGGGCGGGATACTTGGAAAGAGCGCTCTTGAAGTTGGCGTACTCGTCAAGCTCGGAGACAGTGCTGCCACTGATCTCGACGATACCGTACTTGTTGGCCTCCTGTGAGTACTCGTACATCAGACCACCAGAGTAGACGCCGGTCATCTCAGAGTTCATGAGAGCCTCCATCTCGTCGAAGGTACGGGTGTTGGTGTTGCAACCGTACTCGGACAGGCTGTATCATTGATTAGTTTTAGGAAAGCAGACGGGGAATGTTCGTGTTGCTTACAAAATGGGAATACCGTAGTCGGTGAAGTTCTTAACCTTGACGTCCCATCCCGACTGCTTGAAGCTGGAGCTGCACCAGGAGTAGTCGTTGAAGGCGAAGAAGTCGGAGCGGGCATCGTCGCTACCGCAGTTGAAGTACTCAGCGGACTGCATGCGGTTGTCGGCGACATCGGCGGCAGAGTAGCCGACCGGGACGTGGCGAAGGCCGCGGGAGGCCATGTAGTTCTTGATGTCACGGGTAACAGCCTTGACGTAGGGGGCGGTCAAGGTGGTGTTGGCCTCATCGTGGATGACCTCGTTTCCGGAGAAGAAGGCGAGGGTGTTGTCGTACTGGGCGAACTCCTCGACGGTGGCGAAGACGCTCTGGAGGTAGACGGCGTTGTAAGAAGGGTGAGGGTCGGCGCGGTTGATGGAGTACTTGGGGTTGTTGACATCGGCGACGAGGTAGATGCCAGCGTCGGCGAGCTTCTGCATGCACTCCTTGTGGTCCTTGGAGTTGTCGACGGAGTAGACACGGATGGTGTTCACACCGAGGTCCTTGAACTTGGGAATGTCACGACCGCAGATGGTGGTATCGGCCAGGGGGTCGACGTTCTCTGAAGAGCCACCGGGCTGGTAGTCGATACCACGGACGTAGAAGCGGGTGCCATCAGCGTAGAAAGCTATTCATGTCCATGTCAGTCAATTGGGTCAGAACGATGCGATATTTGGTGATCCATACCATTGCCGGAGGCGGAGACTGCGGGCAAGGAACGGGCCTTGATGGGGGCCTCGCGCTCAGTAGCAGTAGGCTTGGCCGAGACGACGGACAGGGCCGCAAGGGCGGAGATGGCAGCGACAGACTTCATTGTGAATATGTGTGCGAAGGAACCAAAGTGAATTCCCAAAAACCCAAGTTGATGATCAGAAAGTGCCAAGCGGTAGAACGTTCCGAAAGAGTGAGGAACAGTTGAATGTGAGCTGCGAAAGGGGTGAAGTTTCGGAGTCCAAAAGGGTTGTTGATTAAAAGGGTTGGTCGGTTTAGTGAAAGGTAGATGAGGAAATAAAGTCAACCAAAGCGAGGGAGTTGACGTGTGGGTTTATTGAAGAGGAAAGGGAGGCGCACTCGAACCCGGGGAAAATGGCAACGAGAGGTCGGATGAGGATTTTGAGAGAGAATAACGAGAAGGAGAGAAAAAGAGAGGTCGGGCGGGAAGGAGGGAGGTGGATGATTAAAAAACGGCGTGATTGACGGTGGTGGTACGCAGTACTTCGCACATTACCTGGGTTGTTAGTGTATTCGTACACTAGGTACTCCGTACCTGTTATTCGTACGAGCGAGTAACCAAGAAGGAGGAGCAGGGCAAGCCGCGAAGTGGAATTCGTTCTTTGCAACCCACACCCCCCAGACTCTGGGAGGTGAAGGTCTCCACTGCGCGCCCTCTTTCCCAGTCTCCGAGTCTCCTCCCAGACTTTGCGGCCCTGGTCCAGATTTCCCTTGCCTTGCCAGCTTGCCAAGGAAAGGACCGACAGGAGTCGTGGACGGTGGACCACGCCGCCCGGGGAGGAAAGGAAGGGGAGGGAAGGGATCAAGGGGGGGGAATAGGAGCAGCAGCCGTTCATTCGCCTAATTGATTCTAGTGTCTCCTTGTGTCTGTCAGACAACCGCACCATCGTCCTTCACTGGCTGGATGGCAGCTGTTCTCTCTTGCTTGGACGTTTCTCCTGGGAAGACATTTGCGAGTCCAATTCAGGGGACGGGAAGGGAAGGCGTGGGTCACAATTCTCCATTAATATGAACCTAAGAGGAAAGAGGGGTGTGGCTGCAGACAGCGGGAAGGTGGGATGGAGCTGAATCGGGTTCCCGGCAAGCAAGAGCAAAACTCAATTGGCTGTTGAGCAGGCACTCAGCCGGTGGCCCTTCTTAAAGCCACACCCCATCTTGCTCAATTTGATCAGGTTGTGTATTGTAAACACGGGCAGAAAGATTATTGGTGATGTAATTCTGTCAGGTCGTCCAGCGTCCGTCTCTGGGCGCGTTGCACCGGCGCGTCTGGGCACAGGCTTTTTGTCCACGTCGTCGACAAACCACCGCCTTGCGACTTGCCGTGGCCCGTTTGGCTCTCTCACGCTCTACTCCGTATGGGTACCAGAAAGAGAGGCAGCACATTTTGCTCTATTCCCCATCCGTCGCACCTTGGAAACAATCCTATTATTCCATCCCCATTGCTTCAAGTCGCCTGGTCGAACCCGCTGAAACGCAACAAAAACGACGATCGCCTTTGGTACCAGCCTTCTTCGAGGCACCGAGACGCTACGAACTAGTAGCACTACTTCTCAGCATGCCTTGCAATGCCGCTGAGCCGCTTGGCCGTCACGCCGCCTCCCAGTGCCAGTCTCACTCAGCAATTCGTACCTGATGTGTTTTTTCTTTCTTTCCGGTTTGGCTCGTATCCCAAAAAACTCTTGTTGAGTATCTGTGCCTTTAATCGCCACAGCCATAAACACGCCTCCGGACGAAAAAAGAACACGAATTTCCCCACACACCATCGAAGCACCATTGCCTTTTACTGCTGCCGGCTTGCCGCTACTATGTACTTGAAATTCCAACTCCACGAAGCAGGGCATCATCTATCCATCTGACGACAATCACGATAACAAAGACCCACCGGCCAAAATTCAATCCTCAAGGTGGTACTTGGCTACAATACTTGGCTACAGTACTCACTCAATCCCATGTGCTCATGGCCCCAAGCATGTCCGTCTCACGGTCTCACCCACCCTACACCCCTTTTTTTGCATGCCGACAGAGACATTACGACCCAGCCGCCAGTCAGAAAGTGGAGATCAATCCCCATTCTTTGCCCCAGTCAAAAACGACATTCCATGCACTGCCACAGCGATCAATGGAGGTAGGGAGCGCCCCTGCCAGTCCCTGTCTTCCGATTCCGCGTCCTCTCGTCACCACCACCACCACCACAATCCACTGGCACCACACCTGCACACCAACTGCAGTCTGCAACTAGTTCTCGACCTTCTATCCAGTTTCCTCCACTTCGGCCACCGAGAAAATCCTCAAACATCTCCTTCAATTGGCCAAGACAGACCTCCAACGCGAGAGAAATGATCCCAAGAAAGCTCCAAGAGAAAGACCATGCAGCTAAGAAACGGCCATAGCAAGACTCACTTCGCTTCGCCGGCGATCTAAAGAATGCCGCGCCGCGAAGTCCACGTCAACACTGCCACCGCCCACCGAGACCCAACCTCCACCCCGGCCCGGTCTGGTCTCATTCTCAGGTCTATCGCAACTCTGCTGCCGTTTGATGCCGAGTAGATTGAACTTTGAAGCCCAGACGCAGAACGGTACTGCGTACACCAATCTGCTCGAGTCCAATCCCTTTGACCTATCTGTACGGATCAGGATACAATTATCACCATCCCCCGTTCGGACTGCGACCTACGAGGCTACGACCACTCCACGAGCCCATGCACTGATGCAGACGAGAAATTATCCGATCGATGATCATATTTCGAGTCCAACGTCGTGGGTTCCACTACGTCAGTCCCGCCCATTTCAAGGTGCCCAGTTTCAGACCAACCTCGACGTGCTACCGATTAGATTGAAATCTTTTGCCTGGGTCTTTGCCTGATCGTTGTTACCAGAAAAAGAACACATATCGCGGCCAATCAATCCAGGATTGGATACAAATAAACTAAATCTCTCTCCGTTTCTCTCTGTTCGGTCCGTCTGCCCACTTCCCCCGGACATGACGCAGGCCACTTATCCAAGTTGAAAAGGCGGCCAGCCATCTCTTCAAATGAAACGGCGTCTGGTCAGCTGCCTCCATTCAGTCGCCTCGTCCGTCTTCCCTGCTTGGAACTTTGGCAGTGAACCCTGACCGACTTTGCCTTACAGCTTGCAGGCATACGGCGTTCAAGCCGCCAAAATTTCGCAGTCGCAGGAAACAAATGCAGCCCTTGGGCACAAGAAATTGCATCCTCGATTCATCCCAAATTACCCCCCTTCACCCCTCCATCTTCTGCACGCAGCACCAATTCTGTGTGACACCCTTCAGCGGGTTTATCAGGGGTTATCCGCCCTCGACTGTCATCTGATTGGTGCTTGGCCAGTGCTTGGCCCGTTCTTGGGGACATGGACTACTCATGGGAGTCCTTTTCACCTTTGGCCTGACCTTGGCCTCGAACTGTTGTTTGCTTTGCTTTTGCTTTTTGGGAGACTCGGAATCCATGCCAAGTTGCCAGACTTGGCTCCTGCAGTCTATCCATACACTTCCAAGTGGCACAGAAGAAGTAAAAAAAAATCTCTCAAGAGATTACGCTCTACAGAAGCGACCCTTGGCGGATTCTTGTGTAAAGAACACTTCAGTCTCTTCTCTGTTCTCTCAAGCCCAGGCCATTTCCCTCTTCCTTCTTTACACTTACTCGTCGGGCCTCGTCATCCTCCAGGTCCCACCCCGCAAAAGGCCCGTGGGCTCTTGCAGCGAACTGGAATGGCCATGCCCTGGCTGGCGGGTGCCCGCGTTACTGGCAGCGGGAGGGCCGGTTGGGATCTCCCCGATCCCCTTTCCCCCCCTTCTGCTCGCTCCCCTTTTGCCTTTTGACCGCAAACGGAATGGGCCACGATCTCAACTCCTGGTAGGGGAGACGATGCCGCCGAGTCCTTGCAGGGGGGATGAGAATCACCAGTGACGCCCTGAATTTTTGGATTTTTGGTGACACTGACAGGTACATTTGACGTTTCTGTCTAACAAGGTGGTCAGAACACTTTCATTACTGTCAAACCCAGCACACGTACACGGTGAAACACCATGCGAATGAATCTATTCGCAATGATGGGGGCGAAAAACAAGAATGCTTTGCTATTTTCAACTACTTCAAAAAAAAAACCCGGAATTGAGCCCCCTCCTGATGCTCCAACTCGACTCCCGCCGACTTATATGTAGAAAAAAGAGTACAGAGCACTGAATGTATGCACCTTAACCTATGCTACTTCGTTCTCTCGATCTCCGATACGCAGCGACATCGTCCAGCTTCGATTTCCGCCGCTCTCTCTGGCTCTGATTCCGCTTCACCAGTCGGACGCTGGTCACGCGTTCCGGGTAAAACGTTGCCGCAGGATCCGCTGCTCGAGGCGGCTCTCGATAACCCTCTCTCTCCGTCTCAAACCCCTTTTGTTGCGTAACGTGCTTCTGCGGCATCTGTGGAATGTCTCGCAGCACAATGTCCTCCGCCGCCGCCGCAGCAGGCGGCTTCAACGTCCTATAACTTCTTCGTCTCTGAGCACACGACTCCTAGACTGCCTGGACGTAGCTTGCAGGCACGCTCTTCGTTGCGCCGCCCTTTTCGACTTCGGCCCAACCGTCGCCCGGATCGTCCTTGATGAGGACAAATCTCTCGCCCTCCGTCATGCTGTGCTCTGCGTCGCTTTGCGCCGTGTACTCGTACAACGCCTCCACGTACTTGAGTTTCTTGGCTCCGCGCTTCGGAGCGACTGCCGGCCCCTTCTTCTTCGGTCCCGCTGTCCCAATCGAGGAGCCAGAGTTGGAGTACGTCGACTCGGGCCGGGCGGACGCTCCGGTGTTCTGCGCGACCATAGGCGATGGTGGTGCCCAGTCGACATAGCTGGCGGGCACAATGCCTTCTTTGTATCCTGCGCGCACCTTGACCCAGCCAGTGCCATCTTTGAAGGTTTATTAGCAAATGGGAGTAAATCTGGCGAGGATAAAAACATACCATCAGGTTCTAGCATTGTAACTTCCCGGCCTTCGACTACAGATACTTCACCGTCGCCACTAGCCTCAAAGGTGTAGAGCATCTTGCCCTTCTGCTGGTCTGGAGAGCCCGACCCATTCGGCGCGCTACCAGGTAGTTCGCTGATATAGGCCGCTGGCGGCGGGGCCATGACCCTCTTACGGGCCGTAGTAGAGCTTACGGTCGACGCAGGAGCAGCTGGGCGGGGTGTCGATGGCTCAGGAGGAACCTCATCTATCGGCGATGTCGGGCCCCCAGTGATCGACCGACGTGCGCTATGCGCGTATCCTGAACTCAAGGAGTTCATCGTATTCGATCTCGTTAGGGTCGGCGAATCTGTTGCGACGGTTGGAGAGGACGCGGTCGGTTTCAACAGCGAGTTGGCAGCCTCTTGGCGTTCGGCCTTGAGCTTCTTTCGTTCATCCTTCGTCTGCTCGCCTGGGCAGTCGGCTGGAACCTTCATCTCGCACTTGTTGTGACACGTATAGCCACAGTCCCTGCAGTCAAAGCCTTTGGCTGATAATCCCCATATTCTTTCACCGCAAAGGTCGCAATTTGTTGGAATCTTGAAGGTTTGCGCCTTGAAGTTATGGTTCTTCGCTCCAAGTGTCACATCTCCCACAGCCGAGGTAATGGTGGACGTCTCGACTTCAGCGGTCACTCTCCGCCTGTCGACGGCGTGGAGATCTTCCTGCAAGGCGAAAATTTGCGTAACCACAAGAACTTCATCCTTCTTCTCGGTGCCCTCTCGTATTCTTTGCTTTATACGTTTGATACCCTCAACCTCCCGTCTTTTCTTGTCAACCTCTCTGCGCAGGTCTCCGAGATGAGCTTTCGATTTACTGAGTACGTTACGGAGATAGATCTTGGCGGATTCGTCTACAATCATCAAGTCGTCGTCATGCCATACGGGACTAGGCTCAAAAACCTTGTCTGGTGGCTCGTGGAATGCGCCGAGGTTGTGACGGATATACATCATAGAGTCGAGGTGAGGCTGGTTTCTGGAAATCTCGGTTGCAAGCTTTTGCATCAATCCTTTACTGCTCTCCAGCATAGCCGCTTCCAATTGGGATGCGACCGTCCACAGACCATTCAGCTTCATGGTACGGAACTCAGCCAAGTCCTGCAGACTGTCCATGACCTCGGGAACGTAGTCATGGTAGTACCGCTCTTTTTGCTTGTTAGTGACATTGATTGCGATCAAGTATGTGTTCTTGACGTTATTCATGTCTAGAATCTGCTGCTGATAGGCGCTCTGCGCTTTGGCCTTGTCAAAGGACGATTCAGACTTTTTGCGCTTGCTTTCCACTTCCTGACAAGCAGCATCGTATTTGGCCTTTGTCTTGCGCAGGTCCGCGTATTGAGAGTCCCTTTCGTGTTCGAGTTTGCCGGCATAGTCGGCATGGCGCTTGCGCAGCTCTTCGAAACGGGTGCCGAGGAACTTGAGGGGTTCAGCCACTTGAGAGAGGAGGTTGTTGCCGTATCGATCGTGTTCGTCGGCTCGGGATTCGAGTGTAGTAAGCTGCGTAGACCAGGTAGTCAAGGAAGCGCTTTCGAGAGAACCTGGTGTCATGGCGGGGGTGTCGCCGACGCTGAGAGGCGCTGACTTCTTGTTTTTCTTTTCGAAGTACTTCTTGGCCAAGGCATT